ATAACCTTTCAGGCTAAAGACAGCCATTGTCTGTATACCATGTTTCAAGAATTTTCACCTCTGTATTGTCCATGGTGACCCCCACTGTTTGCAGGTGATTTTACCATATCTATTTGTGGGAAATATGTGATAAAAGTGTGAGCTGGTGAAGGAGAACTCAGGAAGAATCTTATGTCTTATGCAGGAGGGTTTCTTGAAGGCTTGATGTACATATCAACATTAACAGAGTTGCATGGGTTATTGTCAACTCCAAGTCTGAAGATATCTCACACAACATCCCAACTAATCTTTTTCCCTCTCCACCTTGCATCAACCATTCCAACATCATGTCCATGAAAGGCTAGAATAGCTGCTCTATGTGGGTGTTTGCATCTTACTGGATAGTTAAACCTAAAGCATGCATGCCTAAATCACGTTGTGTCCATTACATCTTGCTTCTGATATAATTTAGAAAATAGTTGGAGTTGGTGTCTCTCTGTCTGGGGCATTTGAGTTAGGTATGAAAGTTCCTGAGCATATAGACACTAAAATGTGCTGCTACCCCTTTATCTATAACCTGACATTGAGTACTGCAAGAGAAGGGAGTGTGTGTGGCATGATGCAGACCCTGTTCTGTAAACAAATACAAAAGAAAATTGCTTCACAAAGGTCAGCTCAATTTTCTTTATGGTATTCACAACTTGCTTCTCTTTAATATTATTATTTTTTTAATTCTTAAGAGGTGAAAAATCTTTTCACCTCACTGTTGTTCAGGTTGACCACCTCTGTATATCAAGTTTCAGAAGGTTTTAAACAAACACATTGTATTTGAAACTTGACATGCAGATAGTGGGGGTCACCATGAACAAATGGTAAGTGGTTTGTATTTATATAGTGCGTTTCTACTCTTGATGGCCGCTAAAAGCATTTTACAGTACAGTTTTGCCATTCACCCATACAGTGCATCTATTAGCAGCACTTCTGTTTTTATGAAGGGCTATTTGGGGTTCAGCAACTTGCCCAAGGACACTTTGGCATGCAGATGGAGAAGACTGGGGATTGAACTGCTGACCTTCTGGTTGACGGACAACCGCCCTCAGCCACATCTTAGTAACAAGCTTAGTAAGGGGAAACATATTTGTCAACTCTTGAGGATTCTTAATAATATTTAATATGAGCAAGTTATGAGTACCATAATGAGAATTGTGCTGTCTTTCCCTTGAATTTTCTCTAAGTTCGTGCAGTGAAATTACTTGAAACTTGACATGCACACAAATATTTCACCTCTCAAGGATTTCTATAGGAGTAAATTCTGGATGCCATTTTCTCCACTCCAAGTCCATTACCGTAACACCACAAACTGACGCGCATCAATTTTCAATCTGGGCTAACCGTGGTAAAAACAGACGCATTCACATGCATTATCACTGTGCGTACACATATACCCCGTCGACCCGTATGACACTGATAGTTGTAAGTCGTCATACTGTCGCCACATGATTGACTTCATTGTGGCGTTATCGATCACCCGTCGCACAGTGGGCGAAATACCGTACAAATACGATAATTACCGTAAATCTGGCAAAGTAAGAAAAACACGGAAGTGAAAGTACAAGTGAAGCGTTTCCTAGTTCAGAAGGATCGGGTCCGACTGTCGGTCTGTGTGAAAGAATGAGCTCTTTGCAATTTAACGCTGTTTTACTTGAGATTTCAAACCAGCTTTCCAGTGACGAGCTGGATAAAATGAAGTTTCTGTGTCGAGGGAAGATCGGGAAAAAAAATATGGAGAAGATCAACAGCGCACTAAAACTCTTTCAGTTTCTGTCAGAGAGAGGCGAGCTGGGAGCCGATAAAACAGAGACTCTGTCCGAGCTTCTCCAACAAATTCAACGACTCGATCTCGCGGACAAATTCAACACGTATGAAAGTCGGCGTGGAAACACTGCCAGCGAACCGGAGCAGGCGGAGAAGGGTAATGAAACTCTCTCTCTCTCTCTCTCTCAGCCAGCCTCCGCCAGACAGCCCGAAACTTTACAGTGACAATTCTCAGCTAATGTGGTGGCCTCAAACATTCGCTGTAGGATATATGAGATATACTCCACTTCACTGGACTGCGATGCGTCGCATGTTTTTTTGGCCGCTCCAAACACCCGTAATGTAACAGCGCGAAGTGAAGATTGAAGTTGTCAAATTTGACTCCGAAATTCTGATTCCTGGTGACAGGAGACCTTTTTGTGATTGTAACAACAGTGGTGAAATCAACAACTCAGATGGAATGTCCCCTCAGTACAACTGTACCTGACTGAATGTTGTCTACCTGATCTGAACCTTATTGTCTAAGACAGACTAGTCCTTGTAAGAAAGGAATTGGCAGCGGGTGTGGGGAAAGATAAAACATGATATCTTTCCTGTAGTGTATATTAAAAATCAAACAAAATTAAATATGGACTGACTTTGTTCATTTCTGTTCAGACAACAGAAAATCGCAGAGGTGGGATTGTTCTCTTCGGACAACTGTGGACATTGACCTGCTGGACATAAAATTATTGTCATTATTGATTAATCACTATCAATATTGTTTTCTTGACTTTATAACACCGGGGCTACCACTCTTTTTATACCTCTCAATAAGCTCTAAATAATTTACACTGTTGACTGAAACTAAGGGGATTTTATATAAACCTGACATAGTATCTTAATGTCTCTAAATGTGTGTAGAACAGCTGACTCTTTAAAGACCTTCAGTTTACTCCTCATTTCCAGAAGGGAAGATGGACAGGCCTTTTTTTCATTAGCTGTTGTCTATTCCCAATTATCCTTGTTGGCCTTAGGAGGTGTTCTAATAGTTATGTTGTTCTATTATGTTTTGTACAAATATGCGTTGAAATTGTTTCCCAAAAGTAGAAAACCCTATTCTCTAAACCATTTATATCTCCTTCTCTTTCAGCCCAACTGGACATTGCTACAGAGGTGATTGCAGAAAACCTAGGAAGGTCTTGGCGTAAACTGGGCCGCAAACTGGGTTTGAATGATGTCAAGCTGGACTCCATAAGCAGGAGGTATCCTACAGAATTGGAGGAGACAGGAATAGAGCTGCTGAAGGAGTGGAGGAAGAGCCGAGGAGCCGAGGCCCGAACAAATGAGCTGATAGAAGCCCTGAGGGCATGTTGTTTAAACCTGACTGCTGATAAAGTGGAAGAGAAACTGTCAGCCCAAGGATATTGATTGGGTTCAACAGATAAGACTCAAAACTCTGTAAAAAATATAAATTTACTACTGTAGTTATATATTAAATTATGATTGTTGAGGTGAATCAGTTGACTTTCTGGATGTCATAAAATGTATAACAACAGCTTTTTATGTCTGACCATTTCTTTTTATGTTATATTGAATTAAAACTTTATCTACAAGTGGGATAAAACTTTCAGATTGAATGTCATCAGTGCCACATCCACTTATTAGCTTTCAGTCAGAGAGTTAGACCAACAGATAAACACCAATCATATCAGTCTGTCTGTTAATTAAAGAATACAGCAATGGTGAAGTGCTGTTTTTCCTGGATCATAGACGAGATGAAACTGAAATCTGTGACCTTTAGCACATTTTGTAATTGTTGTCAGAGCCAGGCTAACTGCCTTCACATCCCAAGAATCTTCAGTGTTTGAATTCTTAACCAAATCAGTCCAACAACATTTATGATCTGAAGTATGCAAGTTTATTGTTTCAGGAACACTCAAACATCCATCTGCCCAACGTCCTCATTGCCTTCATCTGCTGTGATGTCATCCAGGCAGCAGGTCAAAGGTCACTTGCAGTTTCTGCAGAAGAAATGCATGTTATTAGGTGAACGAAGGGATGTGCAAAAGTGGGACTGATACATGTTTGTGTGCTTAATATTCTAGTTTTGTTGACTTCAACATTAAAGGAAAGGTTCATTTGATTAAGTCTGTCTTAAAATACTCAAGCCTATCCTGTAATCATTGCTGATGTTCATATACTGGCTGTAGCGATCCCTTCTTTTTATTTTCGGTTGAAGTAATGGGGGATAGGCTTTCATGCTAAAGTAGAGCCTCAACAGCCTGAGTTGAAAGAATCAAGAAATTCACTAGTAAAGTTTTTGTTCTTTCAGTACAATCTTACCTCTTTCTGTGTCCCCTTTAAACACAAAGATGCATTTCTGCCTGCTAGCTGCTACAGGGTTTTGTCACTTCATCAGAAACATACTGTTTTGATGCTGATGCTTTCTGTCTTGTCTACCAAGGTACAGTATACAGTACAGTGTAATATAAACTAACTTCTATGCCAAAAGGACTGTGCCTTTAGAAGATTCCCACTTTATATTCATGAAATCCAGACTGCTTAAGCCTTGTGATAGATATGCCTAAATTAATAAACTGTTTCTGCACCAAATGCGGACTGTGGATCAATGTGATATAGTAAGGGAGGAGGAGTGATTCCAACAATCACAAACTTTCTTGTGGCATTACTGTGACGCTGTCTCTCGGGTCTCAATTTACATTTGTCTGTCATCCAGCTAAACCACAGAACACTTACAACACTTATACAGCCTGTTCAGTCTGTCAATGTCATTCTTGCTCATCTGGGTGGCCTGGCCAAGGGATACATTGCTGTTGGGAATTGGAACCATAGTGGGACGGTTGTTCTTGGAGAAGGCGTACCTGGAGAATCATAGACACCACGATGCAAGTTAACTTACTCTGTTAAGAACAATCGCTGATAAGTCTGACGATTTTAATTATTTTAGGTGCATAAAATGAAAGAGATAGATAGACCAAATAAAGTTCATGACACAAAATGAAATTATTCATACCTCTCATATTGCATGACAGAGTTGTAGTCATAAGAGGTTCCCTGGTTAAGAGTGTTAATCTTATCAAAGTTGTACGCCATGCCTGCAGGGATAATAGAAAATATGTCAAATCACACAAGTACAGTGATTTTGAGGAGCACAATAGAGAATCAGCGGTTTTGCCATGTGTTAATCATACTGTAAACTCAAAGTGGCTAAAAAATTGCAGTTTAATTGTAAATGGTTTGTATTTATATAGCACATTTTCAGTCTTGACGATCAGTCAAAATGCTGTACAATACATTTCTGCCATTCACTCATTTATACATCAAAGTGCAGCACTTTTTCTATTAAACATCACTCCAGGTGTGCTGAGAGGGAGCTGTGTGAAGTCTGAAAAATGTCCTCAATTAATGATAGTTGATTCAGGGTTGGGTGGGGCTGAAGACTAAAAGTGCAAATAGAATCCTTTAGTGTTGAAATAGATTCAAGTGTGGTGAACAGACCTCCATGTCTGCTCCTTATCTCTGCTGTAGGCTACAGGCATAATGCTATATCAGCCACTATCTGCATAACACACCCCAGTTTCTATGTCTATGTCTATGTCATGACAAGGAAGTTGCAATTTAGGTAGTGTAGGGGCCAGTATTTGACAAAGTCAGTAGACATATGTTTGAATGTTTTACTGTTCAACATTCACATAACAAATTTGTTTTCAGAATGTTTCCACCAATCAGTCAAGTTTAGCTCAAACAATGCTCCTGTATGTCTGTCTCTAGAACAGCTCTGCCTCCATACAAGTTATAGCCTACTTTATAGTTAAAATGTCTTACCATCAATGATGTTTTCCCAGTACACCCTAATGTAGCTGTCTCTGTCAGAGCGAGTCTGTTCATGGTTGAAGCCGAGGGCGTGGAGCAGCTCATGCTGGACTGTGCTGTGGTACAGACAACCCTGACGACTCAGGGACACAGTCTGAGCACCACCCTGACGACCTACGTATGAGTAGCAGCTGTGGAAACATAATCGGAAAAAATATCGTGAAAAAAAATCTCCTGATTGTTCTACAGATGCAGCAAACATCAGTAAGTATCTATTGTTGGTCCCAGGTCAATTAAACCTAAAAGCCTGAACTTTCTGTAATTTATGTTTGTAATTAAAAGTTAGTCAAAGGGAGGACTACGATGAAACACAGAAACTTCAAGACAGATGTTATATCACACATTTTTTAAGGATGTGAATTGTTGAAGCAAATACAAAAACTCATTGATTCCTTACATTTACGTGTGGCTGCTAAAAACACAAAGCAATGGCAGGAAATGTTGTGGATATTAATTGGCATTTACAGTGGCGCTGAATATGTGCCACACCCACACAACAGAGTTGGCAGTAACTAGAAGGTCAACATGGAAAGTCATGATGACAAGCAGTTGTCAAGGACTTAAAACCACCTTTGCCTGCATCTATGAATTAAATAGATAGCGAAGGTCCTTGTGTGCTGGACAGTAACTCATAGAATATATAGGACCCTGAGAGCAGAATGAGTCACTGAACATTTGACAGCCCTTACAGGAATAGAAGCGCCAGTTATAAGAAAAAAGTTTTAAGCAATTAACAGGAAACAACCTGGTAAAATCGATTTTTTCCCCTCATTATGCTTTTCAACCTTGGAGTTATGTAGTGAAGCCCGAGCCAGAGCCTTACCCATTCCTGGACTCAATGCTCAGCCATTCATGATCACCGTTCTGGTAGGGTCTGAAACGGATGCAGGAAACTGAAGAAAAGGACTCCAGTCCACGAGTGATGATGGCCTTCTCACGGGAGGCTGGTGGGATGGCAGGTTGAGAGGATCTGTAACAGTGTAGCTATCTTGCATAGCCAGACCCCCTTTCCACAGCACTGCATCAGTACTGGAGAATGGTCTGGTTACACCCATCATCACCTCTGGTTTGTACAATCAGCTTGGTTGGCAGTAAACCCTTGATGCAGTGATGGAGCCTCTGCAAAATAGTGTCTGAAGGGGGCTTGATTTAGTGGAACATTTGCAATATGGGAGGCGATCACTTTCATTAATCCACCATAAAAATGTTGAATTTGTTTGTTTCAACAGTGTTTCAAAAGGTAGAGTCTTACCCTGAGCACCACACTGCCTCTGCTGACTAAACCTCTTTCCATGGTGCACCTGCTGTTATCTTTTCACCAGTTACATCCTGCACCATTCCCCAGCCAACCACCAGACAACATGATTCATCAGACCAGCCCATCCATGGCTCTATGGTTTATAAATTAACCTTGGGCGCCAGTGACCCTGTCACTGATCCACTGACGTCCTTCCTTGGACACACAGGACCTGCTGTTCTGGAGATGCTCTAGAACCTCTGACCCAGTCGTCAAACAATCATGTTATGGCCCTTATCAGAGATGATTGTTTTGTTTGCCTATTTTTCCTGCTTCTACCAAATTAACCTCAAGAACTGACTGTTTGTTTGCTGCCAAATACGTCCCACCACCTGACAAATGGCGTTGTAATGAGACAATCAAAGTTATTCACTGCTGTCAGTGGTTTTGATGTTGTAGACAGTTGGAGTAAATACTAAAGATACATTTTACTCACTCAAATAAGTGAGTAAAATGTATATAAAAATATTAAAACTATTGAGGCTTACAGAAGTGATTGGCAATGTAGTATGGGATGTAGACCTTCCCATCACTCCACTTTTCCCAAAGGCAGCCCCTAGAGGTGCAGGGGTCAGCGTTTCTGTCAGCCTCAGACTTGATAGCAATGTCTCCTCCGATCAGGGTGGGCTCATCAAAGTCAGGGGCTGCAAAACCAACACAGGTTTTGGAGGTGAGTTTGACATACATACAGAATAACATATGCAATCATTTGGTTCCTTTGTTGTTTTATTTTTGTTTTATTTTGTCAGACTGAATGGCCATTAAGCTTTTACAGGTCAACTGTGTCTCTGCCTGTTTGTGGATCTTATATGAAATTAATGAATTATTTCATGAAACGCAGTTAGGTTGTTGTGCAGATGACCAACTTTCATTATGTTCTGTATACAATTTTAAGCACACTATGAAATATGATGATAGCATTTCTTTATGTGTTTGTCTTCAATACTGTGACTATGGCATGGTGAAGTGCTGACCATGGGACTGAACAGAATCACAAGTTAAGTTTAGGGAAATATGTTCTCACTGCGGTCTCTGTTAGCTCTCTCCAGCAGTTCACCAACAGACAGTTCCCTGGATGTGTCCTCCTCCATGGTAGCAACCTCTGCACAACACATTGTATGTGATATTGTATGAACTGTACGCATAATAATTCTAAATATATAGGCTGAATGAAATATGAGTGACTTACCATCCTGTGCTTGCCCAGAAAGACATGAAAAAGCAAAATGTTGAAGAAGCACATTCACAAAAGAAGAATTTAACATAGGCTCTCCTCTGTATGATTTCATGAAACTTTGTTTTATCTTAATCTGCCGCTAAAGTGGCCGAAACATCTTTGAATTGCTTTGGTGGCAATTAATGAAAATACAATCCTGACACATGGAAATGTGAAGCAGTTGTTAGCATAAATATATGTACGCATTATATTAATCTGTTATAAATTGAACTTAATGTTAGAAAAATAATAATAACAATAACCGTGAAATAAATAAATACATTTTGTTTCATATGGGCAATTTCACAATAATTTCAGGCCTTTTTGCCTGTGATGATACTGATTTTGTTTCTGACAAATGTGATATGTTGGTGAGATGAGGTGGTTTGTGATGTTTTCTACCTCAGCCGAGGAGGAGGACACAAGCAGCAAGGCCAAAAGAGACCAAGAGAAAACCAACATGGTTGCAACAGACCTATGATAACCACAAAGAAAAAGGAGGTGAAGATGGTACAGAAAGACAAAGTATAATTCATAAATCTACAACAGAAAAGTAAAACAAACAATCCATTAATCCTGGTTCTATTACTCTTATTATAATATAATGTGTAGTGGTATGGAAGGTGTGTGAGTCTTACCTGAGAACCTGAACAATCAGTGTCCTACTGTCACAAAGTGACAGTTTTTATACTGTTCAGGTAGAACAAGTAAACAAAATGTGCAAACACAACAGCACCCCTTTATCACTGAAAATGGAAATGTCTGTGTCCTTGTAACCTGTGTGAAACACTGCATCTGGTGTGCGAGCAGTGTGAACATAGTATGGCCTTTCTCAGTACTCAGTACGTAGTAGTTCTAAATCTGTAAAAAATGTCTATCTCTGATGTTGGTGTTGAGATCTGTTCAACATGAAGGTTTTGGCTGGGTATAATGTCAAGTTCCTTCAAAGTAAACTGTAAAAATATTTTCTTTATGGGTGACAGTCTGGGTCAGAGTTGAAGGAAATATGTTGTCAGAAGAGTCATCCCCTGTGTACAAAAAATTGAAAATTAACAAAATATTTAAACGGGGGTGTACACACATGTTGTATTGTATCTTAAATTGGTCCAGTTGTACCCCAAAGAAAGAATAGAGTGGTGGGGGAGTTGGATTCATTATCATTGGAACAGGAAACAAATAAAGTAAAGTAAAAATACAAATTTACTTACTATTTATAAATTCCATTTCATGTGTTTACATGTGTTTGAAGGTGTCAGAAAGCATCTCACTACTGCTGCACTCCTCTTTTAATGAAAGCTTTCCTCAGAATACTGAAATAATAAATCTAATAAATTACAAAAGCAATGTAGTGTGTCTTTTTTCTTTAATGAATATATTAATTTAAATATGTTAACTTTAAAATATGGAATCAGTCTTTAAAAAATACATTATAAAAGTTATATTTAAAAATGTTTTAATAGATTAGCAAAACACATAAACCCACAGAAAATGTACCAAGGACACACATTGCTAAGCCCTATCAGACAAACTGTGATTTGTGATATGGGCAGCTGTGGCTGAGGTCTTCTAACCAGATGGTTCAATCCCAGTTCTCTCCATCTGCATGCCGAAACTTCCTTGGGCAAGATACTGAATTGCCCCTCATAAATAAAGTGTACTGTATAATACATGCACTGTATGAATTTATTGAATTTATTTATTAGGTTTAAAATGACAGGGACAATGTAAATTGATAAACATTTTGTAACTGAGCCAGTTTAGCCATCTTGGCTAATTTTCAACTGTAGGTGTGAAAACATCTACATAGGACAAATAACAATTTAAGACTTACATACTTAAGAACACAAAATGTTTGAAAACAGGACAATAAGATATAACACATAAAACAAAAAAGCACGCTCAGGCTACTTACATCTACAGAGCATGGTCACACACTTGATTTTCTTTCAACCATGATTTTAAATAGAATTTTAATGAACGAAATGTACAACAGTCTCTGATGGATGTTGGTAGATTTTATGAGTGTGAGCTGCTCTAACTGTGAAAGTTAGTCCTCCTCATTGGTATTATTCAATCCCCTCTTACCACTGACCTAGTATATCATTAGTGGTTTTCTGCTTGATAAGAGGCAGGAGATGGGGAGGAGATAATTGTTGAAGAACCTTATACACAAGACACATCTATGATATTGTCCCAGCTCAGTAAATTATGTTTTCTTAAGCAACGAAAATAGTGGTATCTGGCTTCCTGTCAAGTTTCTTAATGGCCTGACTGTATATTGACTGTACAGTTTTAGTGTATCATGTTTAATCATAGCATTGAACTAAAGTGTTGCCACCTTGGTAAAAAGACTTCTAATATGGCGAAAAGTTGACAAATTGAACTTCATGACATTTATGACCATCTTAATCTGATTTTTGATTAGTACTAAGTGTTATCCCAAGATATTTATGACCAGATAAAACAGCCAACTCTTCCCCTGCGATATAAACATTGGGTGTAGAATTATCTGTTGTAAGCTTACATGCCGCTTGTTGTTTGGTTACTGCATGCAGATAATAGACAGTGTCATCTGCATACATTTGAATGTCAGCGCCAAACCGTACAGCGCATAGTACCATATCACCCTACTAGAGCACTGCGCTCCCAGAATTCAGGTTTCCATGTTGTCCCTAAAGTCTCTAAAAGTAGAGTAGGAGCCATCAAGCTCCTCTCCTGTGGAATCATCTCCCAGTTTCCGTTCGGGAGGCAGACACCCTCTCTACATTTAGGAGTAGGTTTAAAACCTTCCTTTATGATAAAGCTTGTAGTTAAAGCTGGTCAAGGTCTAGAATGTCAAGAGACGCATGACACGCGGAGCTTCTCTTTTTTCTTCCCCCTCTTTATCACATCAAATAAATTATTGTCTCATCAATACATGATACTGACTTGACTTCTTCCCCGGAGTCCCTGTGCCTTATTGCTCGCAGATCCAGGGCCACGACTGCGGCCACATCATGGATTATGATGGTGGATCGCAAATCAGAGGTCATGTTCATAATGGTGGCTGATCTTGATGGTAATCGCGGATCCTGTATTGTGCTGGCATTTGATTGTAGTGGTGGAACATGATCAAGGTATGACGACAACAAGACTGCTCGATATACAATATGTCTCCTCAGATACTCCACCATTACTGGCAATAACTCCTCAATTAATTTACCTTCCATCATGCTACAAACTATTTACTGTAACCAATGCTGTAATTACTCTTATTTTTCTGATGTTGCACTTGGTATCTATTGCACTTCTGTCTGTCCTGGGAGAGAGATCCCTAACGTTTCTCTCTCTCTCTGAGGTTTCTTTGTTCTTGTTCCCATGTTAAAAGTTTTTTTCTAGTAGTTTTTCCTTACTCTTGTTGGGGGTTAAGGGCAGAGGATGTCACATCTTGTTACGCCCTATGAGAGACAAATACTGCATCCATTTAATAACATTAGGGGAGAAGTTGAACATTGAAAGCTTTGCAAGTAATTCTATGGTTCACAGCGTCGAAGGAAGAAGAATTGGCAGATGTTGAAGAGAAAAATGCTGAGGCACATGCTGAGCTTATCCAGTTTTTAGATTTAGAAAATGTGTTGCTGGTGATGTGAGAAGCATTGGACAGTGGCCAGAAAAAATTTAAACAGCATCCGCTGAAAACGTCATGAAGGTGCAAGTGCAGCCACCCACAAGATTCCCTTTGGCAGGGTCAAGTGACTCTGGGCCTGAGAGTGCAGTTATAGCTTCAGATGTGATCTAAGAGGACACAAATGACAATAAGATGATGGACAAAAGTTTCTGAAGAGTTGAGCAGCAACTTTGCATATCATCATGAATATTGCAAATTAAGGAAGTTCAATTTCAAGTTCCAGACTGCGGGGAGTTGGCTGATTGAATCACGGAGCCAATAGGGGAGATGCCAAAGGTTTGCTTAATCAACAGCAGAGGACAAAGCCACAATATGACACTGAAGAGGTGTACATCCTCTCATGCCTGCTTGACATCTTCTGTGAGAAAGCAGCTACTGCCTGTGGAGTGAGTGTGATCTTCAAACAAGGCAAAGACGTCCTGTAACTAAGCAAAGGTATAAACACACTATCCTACTTAAACACAGTAAATGAAAATGTGATGACCAATGAATGGTGTGTTATGATATGCAGACTTGGCATGAGATCATGATAACATTCAGTTTTTGATGTCAGAGTTGTTGATGGTATAGAAATCAGGTAAAACAGACAAACCTGCCCTACATTGTGAAGTGTGCGCTCAATTTATACAAACTGGGAACACGGAGTCTGATATAAGAGCCAAAAAAGACAGAGACTGACACTTGATGACAATGGTTTTGAGGTGCAAAATATTGCTAGCAAGAYCGAGCAGAAGAGTGATGTGAGTCCAGGACATATTCAGGGCCAGTGTTACTGGTCTCAAGGCTGACGACCACTGTATGAAACCTGTAAAACAATGACAATGGTTTTGAGGTGCAAAATATTGCTAGCAAGACCGAGCAGAAGAGTGATGTGAGTCCAGGACATATTCAGGGCCAGTGTTACTGGTCTCAAGGCTGACGACCACTGTATGAAACCTGTAAAAAGCAGGTAAATGCAGAGCAATGAGGACACCTTGTTCCCCTTTTTCTCCCAGATTGCTTCTGAGGACAGGGAAAATGCGCGCTGCAGTACAAGACCCCACCCCCCAGGAACCTGAGAGTGGACAAAACTTCTGCCCCCATCCATTGACTGCATTGTGTGCAAAATATCGACACACAATTATTTCCAAAAATAATCACATTAATGTTTAATTACCACAATTGTGGTAACCCTATTTTAGGGGTGCCACGCGCTCCAAACATACATGTCCAATTTGCAAACTGAAAATGTTACCAACATATAAAACTTTTATAAAACTAAATCTCACATCCTACAATTTTTTATCCTGTGGACTAAGCGCCTGCTCTGCTAACCCTTTCCTAATGATAGTGTATTGGATAAGGATAGTTGGGTAGATAAGAGGGGTGTTTTTGAGTGAGGTAAGTATCAAGACTGTTTACTGTGGGGTATGATTGGTATGCTTCATGGTCAAGGATGAGTAAGTTAACCTCTGGCCTGGTCGCCTTTGTCTGGTGGATCTTCTGAGTGGGACAGGCAGGTCAGACTGAGGATCCAACATTTGCTCCTCCAGACTTCCATGTATAGGCAACTCTGGCTCATCATCAGATGGAGGCACGTACAGTTCAGTTTCATCTGGAGTGACAAGTCCATCCCTTAGCTGTCTCGGTTGTCCCAAATCTGGAGTCTCCCTCAACAACATGGGCTCATGCTGGGGTTGCTTTTGCACCTGTCCCTTCTCTTGTTCTCCAGTCAAAAATTTAAGCACTGCATGAGGTCTCCTCAGTTGACTCTCCCTGTAGAGTCTCATGCTGAACTCTGCTCAGGTTTTCGTGAACGAGTGAGTATTCTCTCAGGAGTGAACCATGTTTCGGGTTCTGGAAGGGTCCTTTGTTGGTTGTCTCTTTTTTTAGTAGTATCACAGGCTTTTGTCTCAACCCAGCCTATTGGTACTCTCAACCAATGTCCTCCATCTGAGTCATCATCAGAGTCACAGGTATCAGTCTTCTGATCTAGGTTTTCATGTGCCTGTTGTA